TATAACCATCAAAGTAAATGGTCTCAACTCATCAAACAAAAGGAACGGCCTGGCAGATTGGATCAAAAACATACAACAGTATGTTACATAGCAGAAACATATTTAACTTAAAAGAAATTCATAGACTGAAAATCAAAGCATGGAAAACAATACACTATGCCACAGGAATCCAGAAAAAAGTAGGGTAGCTGTTCTATTTGCAAATAAAGTAAATTTCAAGCCCAGATGGATCAAGAGAAACAAAGAGAGGGTTACTACATACTTGTTAAAAGACTGCTCTAAAATGAATAGATAATGACCTTAAACATATATGCACCAATATTAACACACATGACAATATAAAACATGAAAAATTAAATAAGTATGAACACAATTGTAATGGGAGAACTGAATACCCCTCTGTCACAAATACACAGATCAACTTGACAAAAATTTAAAAAGGAAATATCAGAACTGTAAACAAATGGATTTGACTACAGTATTCCACTCCACAATATCATAATACATATTTTTCTCAGCTGCACATGGGACATTCTCCAAAATAAGCCACACATTAGTTCACAGAACATACTTAAGTAAACGCAAAAGAACTGAAATTATCCAATGCATATTATTAGACTATAGTGCAATGAAATTGGAAATCAATAGTAAAAGAAACTACAAAAACTCCATAAATACATGGAAATTAAATAATCTCACAATGAACAACTAATGGATAACCAATGAAATTGAAGAAGAAATTAGATAGTTTGTATAATTAAGTGGTAATACTAATACAACATACTGGAATTTATGGGATGCAATGAAAGCATTCCTATAAGGGAAATTCATAGGATGCATTCTTATATCAGGAAAACAGAGTGAGCTCAAATAAACAACATAATGCTTCACCTTAAGCTTCAGAAAAAAGAAGAGGAAGTCAAGTTCAAACCTTGAATTAGGGAGAACAGATCAAGAAGTAAGCCCTTCCTGTGAATCAGGTCCATGCATGTGCTGCTGTGGGGACAGCCAGACCCCAGCCTTTTCTTGTGAGCCAGCACCATTCACAGACTACAGGGGAAGACTACAGGAAGTCACCGAGAAGTAAGTCCTCCCTGCAAATCAGCACTATGCGTGGGCTGCTGAGGAAACAGCTGAATTCCAGCCTCTTCTGACACATGGACGGGAAACAAGAAGAGCCAGCCCCGACCAACCAGATGATCCAGAGAAACACAGGCTGTGATGACAGCTATAGAGGCAAAATACAATTTAATGCTTGTGCTTAATGTTTCACTGACTTTCAGGTGTAAAGCTGGTAGTTTGATCATTTATTAGGAGGATAAAAGCAAGCAATGTATTATCTAGGGGGATCTCCTTCTGAAGATGGCAGCCACTGTTAATTCCCTATTATCTTGTTTTGAAGTCCGGTATCATTTTCATTGTTTTGTTGGGTTGGGTTTTATTCTGTTTTGTTTTGTATGATTTTCTTGTATATGATTGCATGGGCAGCTATTTCAAAGATAACAAGATATATTATGGTAGCCATTTTGGATTTACAATTGCCTTGTTTTGATGTTCTTTATTGCATGCATTGTTTTGTTTTTATTAGTTCTATTCTGTTCTATTTTGTTGGAGTTTTACTATGTTTGGAGGTATCTACAGCTATTTTGAAGACAAGAGGCATTATGTTAACAATTGTTGATTTCATAGTGTTTTGAAGTCTTAAATCACTTACATTGGTTTGTTTCGGTTGGCTTTATTCTATTTTATTTTGCTTGACTTTATTCTCCTTAAAATAAAAAATAGAGATCATGGTAGAAATTAGTGCAATTGAGACTAAGAAAGCAATAAAAAGAATCAATGAAATGAAGAGTTGGTGATTTCAGAGATGAAATAATAGTAACAAAGTCTTAGCCAACCTTATCAGAAGGTAAGAAAAGACTCAAATCCATGAAATTATGAATGAAAAGGGTGAAATCATAACAGATCCTGAAAAAATCTAGATAATCATCAATACGTATTTTGAGAACCTGGAAAATACAAAAGAATTAGATTCCTTAATACGTATGAATTAGCAAAGCTGAACAAAGAAGATATAAAAATTCTAAATAACCCAATATGTAAGATCCCAACTGAAGAAGTAATTACAAACCTACCAACAAAGAAAAGCCCAGGTCCAGGAGTCACTGCTGAATTCTACAAGACATTTAGAGACGATCTAATGCTGCTGCTCCTCACACTCTTTAATGAAGTTGAAAAGGAAGCAATATTCCCAAACTCATTCCTGATATCATTACCCTGACACCAAGATCAGACATGGGACCAACCAAAAAACAAAGCTACAAGCCAATTTCCTTGATAAATATAAATGCAAAAATCCTTAGTAACATACTGGCAAGCAGAATGCAACAAATAATCAAGAAGATTACACATCATTACCAAGTAGGATTCATTCCAGGGATGCAGGCATGGTTCAACACACAGAAATCAATAATATAATACACCATATTAACAGAACCAAGGAGAAAAGCCATATGATCATCTCAATAGACGCATAAATCATTTATGGTAAAAAAATCTTACAAAAAATTGGCATATATGGACTTTATCTTAATCTGTTAAAAACCATTTATTACAAACCAACAACATACTAAGTGATCAAAAACTTATAAACCTTTACTCTAACATTAGAAATAAGACAGGGATGTCTATTACCACCTGTCCTATTCAATATGGTTTTGGAAACTTTAACCAGAGCAATTAGACAAAAGAAAGTTATAAAAAGAATAAGGATAGAAAGGGAAGAAGTTAAATTATATTTATTTGCGATGGGACGGTACTCTACATAGAAGACCTTCAAAACTCCACCTAAAGACTTCTAGATTTAGTAACCAAATCCAGCGGCATAGTCAACACTCAAAAAAACAATACCATTCCTGTACATAAATAACAAACTCACTGTGAGAAAGGTTAAGGAAACATCTTTCACAATAGCATAAAAACAAAGGCTATATTTAGGAATCACTCTAATGAAGGAAGTAAAAGATCTGTATAGTGAAAATTTATAGTCTGCTAAAAAAAGAGATTGAAGATCTCAGAAAATGGAAAAAGATCCCTTGTTATTAGAACCAATATAGAGGAAATGGTCATATTTTCAAAATTATTATACATATTTAAAGCAATTTCAGTAAAAATATCAATAATATACCTCACAGAATCAAAGAAAATATTCCTAAAATTCATTCAGAACCAGGTGACACCTAGAATAGCAAAGGCAATTCTGGGCAATGCAGGTGAGGCAGCAGGCATCACAATCCCTGACTTGGAATTATACTGCAAAGCTATTTTGATAAAAACATCACGATGCTGGCAACAAACATACAAAGATAAACCAACAAAAACAGACTCAGGGATCAGTGAAACACATTAGAAGATACAGAAGCAATATCAAATCTGCTCAGCTTCATTGTCTTGACATAGGGTCCAAATACCTTTCCTGGAAGAAACACAGCCTCTTTAATAAATGGTGCTGGAAAAACTGACTTTCCACATGTCAAAAATTAAACCTAGATCTATCTATCTCATGGGGTACTAAACTAAAATCAAAATGGATCAATGACTTGAGTGTTAAAACAGAAATCCTAACTATACTGGAAGGTAGAATAGGTAGAACTCTAGAAGATACAGGTCTAGACAAAGACTTTCTGAACAAAATGCTGATCACGGAGGAAATGTTACAAAAAATCAACAACTGAGATCTTATCTTAAGAGTTTTTGATCAGCAAAAAAAAAAAAAAAAAAAAAAAAGCCATCAACAGAAGCTCTCATAGGGAGAAATTTGCCAGTTATTCCTTAGACAAAGGACTCACTTACAGAATACAAAAGAACTCAAAACATCAGACCCTTCAATTTAAAAACCTAATTCAAAAATAGGCATCTGAAATGAATAGATGCTTTTCAGGTGAAGAAGAACAAGTGGGAAATAAATATATGAAAAAAATGTTCAACATCACTGATCATTTAAGTGATACAAATTAAAACAATGCTTAGATTTTATCTTACTCCAGAAAGAATGACTATCATCAAGAAATCAACAATAATAAATGCCTGAGGGGCTGTGGGGAAAAGGAACACTTCTCCACTGTTGCTGGAAATAATAGACCAGTGCAATCACTGTGGAAATCACTGTGGAGATTTCTCAAAACATTAAAACATTTGGCCCTGCCATTCTCCTTGTTGCTATCTTCTTAAAGAACTTAAAGCATCATATGACAGAGACACAAACATACCCATGTTTATAGCAGCACAATTTATAATAGCTATGTCTTGGAATCAGCCCAAATGCCCATCAACAGATGAATGGATAACGAAGTGTGATTTTTTATGGAGTAGTACTCTTCTATGAGGATAAACTTGAGACATTTGTAGCTAAATGGATGTACCTTGAGGCCATATTAAGTGAAATAAATTGGACATACACATTTAAATATCGAGTTGTTTCTCTAATATGAGAAACAAAGTATAAATAAGAACCAAAGTTTATAATAGATATTGGGAACAAAATGTCCAAATGGGAAGAAGAACAGGGGAAGGGAGAGAGGGGAAAAAAGAGAGGGAAAAAGAAAAAGAAGAATAGAAGAACAAAATAGAAACACAGCTTTTGTAAATAAGGAAGGGAAGAGGTTGAAGGGAGGGGAGGGGACTGGGGTGAGGAAGGACCAAGGTATATCACATACAGGTACAAATTCTCTATGATGACTGTGACCATATGTACATGTAAAATGTACCAATCAATAAAGAAAAGTGGATAGAGGAAAGAGGAGGGAACCAAGTGGAGGCCTCAGTAATAGTCTTCCTCCTTTAATTGAATTTAAAATTTTTATACATATTTATACTGTTAACACATTGTACATTTTATGGGAAAGCAGCCGCCTCTGCCTTTAACACCACTGCTGAGTCATAGGGAACGAGCGGCTTCTGTTCCCCTCGTCTCCCCTTACCCTCACTCAGGCAACCTTTACCTTTGCCGATGAAAGTACTGATCCCATGTGGATTAAACAGTGCTTCTTCAAAACCTCCACTGATTTTTAGCGCTTGTGCCCTCGGGACTTGCTCATTCAGATCTATCAAGAAGATTTTTCCTGTCTCACCTGGAGCAAAATCTGGCACGCCTGGATACTTTAGTCCCTTTTAAAAAACAGAGAATAAGAATGCAATGCATAACCATACCAAATAATGTCTTTGTAAGGAAGCTAAATATCAAAGCCACATGATGCTCCAAGTTCTACATTTGGCTTACTTTCCTTGGAATTTTTTACTTTGTCACAAGTTATGACCGTTGTCGGCTCTGATGGGCACCAGTGATATCTAAGCACACAGGCTGTGAATATGGGAAGAACCACGTTCAAGATAAGGAAGCACTTCTAATTTAAAAAGAGCTGAGTCAAAGTTTATAATGAAACAGACCAGGTAGTATGACTTTGTGTGTCCTTTGGCTGCCTGGGACTTAGGTTCCTTGTCTACATATAAGGAAGTTGAGATATAATTGCCAAGATTCTTTCCAATCCTGATATTCTATAACTTGCTCTCCTCAAAGCATAAAGAAGTGGTATAATGTTTAATTTTATTGATCCCATCTCTACATTGATTATTTTATGTAGTAGCAAATAGTAAAATCAGCCAACAGTCCCCATGAGGTTGTCTGGCTCTTACAGGTAAGTATTTTTGAATTACTTTGTTCCTTCAGGTATGTCTGAAAATCCTGACATGAATCTTTTTTGCTGCATATTGAAAAAAATTCATTCCAGTAACTTGGAATGTGGACCTTTCCACTCATAAGGTTAAATGCTGCCAGCCAACAACAGGCATCTCAGATGCATGGGTCTCTGTCACTCTTCAGATCACCATCCAAAGCTTGGGGCAGGTTTATCCCATCCCAAGTATAAAACAGTTTATATTCTTTTCATGTTCTTCCTCCATCCCTCTGGTATATAGATATAGATATAGATATAGATATATAGATAGATATAAATATAGATATTAACCACCTTATATCTCATCCTGTAGTTTTGTCTCCATTTACAGTTAATTTAAATTCTCCTCATCCTACTCTGCCTTCTCACTCTGTCCCTCTCTCTCTTCCTGCTCTTTTGCACGTGAACATTCACACACACGTTCTCCCCTCCTTCTATCATAACTGTGTTATTCTTAGACCTTCCACTGCCCCTAGTACCTTGGCAGTTTCAGAGTAGATAAAGGCACTGCCAGCCTGGGGAAGACTAGACACTGCACCACTAGAAATGATTTAAGAGACAGGGGAGAGGCACCACACACAGGCATGTCCTAAATTAACTCAAATAATGAATGAAATACTTCTGATAAATGGACTCATGCTCGCCTAGTTGTCAGTTCAAAGCAGTTAGGTAAGAACACTGTGTGCTAGTGGATGGCAGGCAACTTTTCATACCATTTACCAGTGAAAATGGTGACAGTCACCTGGGGATGGAGGCTTATTTTCCCTAGCAGACTGCAGGTACTCGGCTCTGTGGACAGTCATCGGGTCCTCCATTACTCTTGCTCATCATCACATATGAAATATTCAGGTGCCCACATGTGCCAGCTAGTGTGTGTGTCTGGTGTCAGGCATGTAAAGGAATGCTTCAAAAAGTCCTGGCTTTAAGGAATCTGAAGTCCAGTGATGCAGAAATGAGTAAGCACATCAGTAGGGGAAGGTATAAAATCACCCAAGAATTGGGGCTGTGGGACACTAGAAGAGGACTCGGCCCAGAAAGAGAGTGCTAGAAAAGAGTTCCTTGAGGCAGTAGAGAGGTGCACAGTGAAGCCTCACAGAGAAACAGGAGCTGACTGGCAGAGCGTGAAGAAAAGACTGACCTCCAGACAAAGAGGACCAAAGCAACCTTCATGGCAGGGAAGAAACTATCCTGCTTGGCATCTCTAAACAGACTGAAAACACCTATGCCTGAAAATACTCTCCAAATCTTATTTCCAAATCCTTTGTGGGGTGGTAGAGGAGACTCAGGAGAGGAAAGTCTTAAGTGCACGACAGTACGAAAAGGTTAGAATTAAGAAGCATAATCGTTAACCTCTGAGTTGTTAGTTTGCAAAACAAGACTCATTATCTAACACATCACATTGAGAGTTATATAATATTTGTGATGCAGAATATCTTCTTTCTGCATAGCCATAAATATGAAGTGTTACTTTTAGAAAAACAGGAAAAATCATCCTGCAGCAATGGCAAATATTATTTCTAACAGTAAATGATACCTCCTATTTTGAAAGTCTAGCATTTATGTTTGAAGGTCCATTTTTTGCATAAGACTGAAAATGTATTTTGACAACAGAAAATGTAGGTTAAATAATAAAGTGTCACCAAATAGTTAAAGTGTCACCAAACAGTTTTGTTTTAACTTTGGTTTTGGAGGAAAAGTAAGAAATAAAATCCACATGTGTACATACTTCCGATCTGGGAAATTCAGACCATGGTTATTATAAGTGTCCCACTTTTGGCCAAAGACACTTAGATTTAAATTCTTATTCTTTTGTGTTATTTGTAATGGCTGAAGTAGAATATTATATATAATATTTTAGCAATGATAATCATTCATATCAAAATACAATAAATCCACTTTTTAAAAATCTTAGACTCTATTCCAATGTGCAGCTGATTTAACAAAGTCATAATTTTCAACATTTTTCCAATACCTTAAAAAGAATTTTTAAAATTGATTTTTAGTCCCTGGCATAGCTCTCTTATCATCCCAAACCTGTGAAAGTGGCAATGGGAACTAGACACAAGGTCCTTTGAACTTCTTGAAAAGCATGAGAGAAATAGCTATGAGCCCAGGATTAGAGCACTCAGGATTTTGAATGGAGTATTATGGTTGCAATTCAATTCACTAACATTTACAGAGCTCCCAACACAGGCAGGCATGGTAGTAGGAAGGCACTGGTCAGTGAGAAGACGACTACCAAGTGTTGAGACCCAGTCCAATAGGGCAGCGATGGAGATGGACAGCAACAGGACAGATGGTCTAGAGACCAGCCTGGGGATCAAATGGAAATCAATATGTACTTACAGAGACCCTCGTGTGTGTGCAGCTGACCACAGGAAGCTGCCCACCATGGGGGCAGTCAAAGCCGGGTATTCCTGTGGGGCTTTAATTAGCTTCCCAGATTCCTGCATGGGCTTTCTTTTAGTTGACTGGCCTACCTGGAGGTGGATGACTGTGCAGAGCTCCATCTGGCAGCCCTAACTGACAACACTAATGCACTGTCTGTTTAGCTATTGATGTAAACATCAGCATGGCATGGAAGATACTCACAGTTGAGATAAAAGCCAGCCCCGAAGGGAGTATATCAATATCTTCAGAGCCATTTTCTGCAAAACAAAAACAAAAATATCAGAACTATGCATATGTGAAATATTGCTATCATAAATCTTACAGTTCAGACTTTTGAAACTGCATTGAGTTTTTCAACCATTGACTTGGAAAACTATGAACTTTTAAGATTCTCATTGCTAGAATGCTCTATAAGAACATCTAAGTTGGACTCCCCAAATACTAAATTCTTTTCTTAGAACTCCATTTTTAGGGAAAAAGATAAATAACTGGAAAAATTTTCATATGTTAGATTTGTTCTTTAACATTTTTCAGAGTGTATCCTGAGAGATTTAGCTTTATTCTCTGCAGAAAGTGGGTCTGGACTGAGTGAAAAAATTTGGAAAGCTGTATTGCAAAGGTTTCTTTTGAGCTTTTGTACCAAGAATGCCTACTCTTTCAAGTTATTGAGGCCTGAAAATCTATCATCATACAATCATACTTGGAAATTATTGACCAATTCTTCCCTGATATAAAGGCAATAGGGCTTAGGGTAAATTATTAAGCATAAATGAATTAAAAGTGTTTAATCAGAGAGCTCCTGAGATCCAGCCATAGTGGGACTCAGGCAGCTTATTCACCCGCCCTCTTGGTAAGCGCCTGCAGTGAGGGCCAGGAGGAGAATCAGAACTCCAGAGATCCAGCCAAGGTGGGACTCAGGCAGCATATTCACCTACCCTCTTGGTAAACTCCCGTGGTGTGGGCTAGGAAGAGAACCATTACCTGTGAGCCTATTGCCACATGGGCTGAAAAATCAAGCACACACCCCCCCCCCCATAGCTACTGGGGATAGATGTCTCAGCATCTCTTGGGAGGATGACCATATGCACTATAGCAAATATGGGGGATTTCCTTCTATATTTTGTTTGAAGGCAAAGGTTGTTTTCGTTGTTTTGTTTTATTATGTTTCTTTTGCTCTATTCAGTATTCTCAATTGGTTTTATAATGTTCTAGTTTTGGTTTGATTTGGCTGTACCTAATTGACTGCACAACTATTGTGAAGTTAAAAAGATATACCATACTACCTGTTACTACTATTCCAGTATCCTACTGTGAAATCCTGCACCAATTTTACTGCATTGTATTGATTGGCTTTGTCCTGTCTTGTGCTGTTGTATTTTTACTACCTTTAAAATAAAATTTTTAAAAAAGTGTTTAATCAGATCTCCTTCTCACTAAGAGTGATATTAAGCATTTTGTGATGAAAACAGACATATAATGAATAAATTGCGATTGAGCACAGGTGAAAAAGAGATTGGGGTAGCTTTTTTTTTATCGATATCAGGGATCGAATTCATGACTGCATGCTTGCAAGGCAGGCACTTATGCCACTGAGGTAAATCCCCAGCCCCCAAGGTACTGGGATAGCTTTTAATGGGGACACACAAGTGGTAGTCAAGACATGCAATCGATGCTTAAATTCTAATAAATTTATAAAAATAAAAAACACATTGCTCTTAACCTCTCTCAAAATATTCTCCTTTACTTCAAACACGCTGATCATCTCATTCTTAAAAACTGAAGCATCTTTGGATATCCTTTTCTGTGAGTATGCTTATGAAATAAGATTTAAAAAAATATGGTGAATTTTGCTGTTGAGAGCCAGCCAAAGGAAAGACAGCTTCATAAAAACTTTACAGTGTGTCCTAATCCACCTTATTAACTGGGTCAGCTTCCAAGAGACAGACTTCTGGCTCTTCCCCAAAGTAAAAATGTCCAGGAAAGGTAAACACTTTGCATCAATGCAGGAAATCAAGGCAGCCACCACAGTACAACTAAAGATATTCACAGAAGAGGACTTTCAGAATTGCTTCAAAATGGGGTCAAAACAATGGGATAAAGAAACTGAGATTGTGATTAATGGCAATTTGTCTTTTACTGATTATACTTTAACATTTAAATGTTCATAACTACATCCAGTTATAACTACATGGCTCTACATAAAACATGGACTCATGCAAGTAGGAATGACCCTGAAAGTAATGGTTCTCTGGCATAGTGAACTGTGTGTCCTACAAAGTCCAGAGCCAAAATGTACCACAGGGGCCCAGTCTTCTTAGAATATGTTGCTCATACTCTTCTATTAAAATAGCTTTTAATTCATTCTTTCTCCTTGAGCCTTCTAGACCTTTATAACTTCCTTAACACACAGAATTCCAATGACATCAACCAAGGTTAAGTGGAACAACCATAGCTGCTTCTGGTGTTCCCACCACAAGGTATATACTTCAGTCTCCCAGAACTGAAATGTGAGAAGTCTAGCTACTCTACAGCTACAGAGAAGAGGATAAAGAGACAAAACAGAAGTGAAAAGAGACACTAAAGGAGTTCAGATGGCTCTGATTTCCAGTCTTTGAGTGTCCCTTGCTAATGCAAATAGAACGGGTAAATTATTTCCCTGAACCCTGCCCAAAGTGGAGTTCTAAGACAAATGCTATAGGTATAGCCTCATTCACTCATAAGTTGGACTTTCAGGTGTGATCCCATGGGAGCATGATAGTCACCAGTGGATTGGTCCACTGATGAGTTTATAGCTAACCATGATGTTAAGAGGTGAAACCTGGTTGGAGACAATAGGTTATTGGGGGTGTGGCCTGGAAAGGTACATATCTCTTTCCCTTAAATCTCTCTTTGCTTCCTGCTACCACACCATGAAAGCCATTTTTCTCTGCCATTGTGCCCTGCCTTGGAGCTAGCTGACTATACACTGAAACCTTCACAAACTGTGAGCAAAATAAATTTACCTCCTTTTACTTGTGGATGTCATGTATTATGCTGCACCAATGAGAAAACAGTTATTTGGAGAAATGGGTTAAGTGGCAGTCGGGGAGGATGAGGAAAATGTGCAAAAGAAAAGATAAAGTCAAATAAATGCAAATTTGAATTAACAGAAAGGTGAGGAAAACTAGTGAACAGAAAAAGATCAGATTTTATTACTATACAGAATAAAATTCTCAACTACTAATATGAAAAATAAGCAGAATTTCTCATTTTCCTTTCATTCTGTTTAATCAAAATTTATTTGATAGCCTGAAAGATTTAGTAATATCTCCATACAGGGTTACATAAACAATAGGAGAATCCAGTAGAAATTAAAGCCACAAGTTTGTTATTTTTCTGACTTTTTGCTTGCCTCTCTGTACACCTAACTTTTAGATTTCCTTTTACTTTAAACTCCTCCCCATCTCTATGGATATAGAGAATGTAGATATTCTTCAGGGTCAATCTGTCATTAGCTCTTACAGCAGATCATTTTTCTACATGTATCAATCACATGAATCACATAGCTTCACCTTCTACCTACATTCTCTTGATTCTCTGATTTGTACACCAAGCCCAAATCATTCTTCCAAGTTCTAGAATTCCTCAATCAATTGTATATTGAATATTTCTATCTGTCCTCCTCTCCTCCCACCATTTCTTATACTCAGTGGCTACCAAACTTATCTGGATATTTTCCCCTTTAATCTGTTTTATTTTCTGTATTTCAATGTCAATATATGGGATTTTCATCCTCAAGTATTCAAAGCATTCAAAGGTGCCCAAAGTACCCAAAAATAACTTGGAGCTATTTTTGAAATCTACTTTTTCCTTAGTCCCCAAATTCATTGATCATCTGTCACTTAAGCTCCAAAAACTTCCTCTTGGATTACAACAATAACTTTCCAGTGTTCATATTGGCTCCCCTACCCTCTTTCACTGTGGTGCTGACAGCTATCTTTCGGAAATGTGATGTTGACTTTGTGGGGTCCACTGTCGTTGGCAGTATAAATCCCAAGCCTTTTGGTCTAGAGCCAACCTCTCCACATTGTGGCTCCGGGCTCAGTTATCACAGCTTGTGCCATGCACTCTACATTCCAACTGTGCCGCAGTGCTTGAGTGAGCAGCTTGTGAGATCTGCATGCCAGTATATACACTGCTCCCTCTTTGGCACATTGAGTCCTCCCCCTCTCTGCACGGGCTCTTTGAATGAGGACTGGAGATATTTCCTCAATCTTTCCCATCTCTCCTGGTTTCAGCATCCACTTCATCTACTAATAGGATTGTCTGTGTCTACCTCACTGAGACATTGAGACATTTTTTCATACTGGGGCAGCTAACCTGTGTTCCCCTATTAATTTCATATTAGATAGAAAGTCTTGGGGACAAGGACTGGGTGTTTTCAGTGCTAGCCCCTTGCAGTCAACATACCTGTCTTTTCATTTTGGATGTGATCAATAGGCTCAGTAAAAAAAAAAAAAAAATAAGCACTTTTAGTTTTTGAATTTTGTCTCATTTTGAAGTAAAGTATGACAACTGAGTGTTAATTTTCGAGTACATGCCATCCTCAAATTAGTGTAGTTCAACTTATGATTTTTCTGCTTTGCAGTGGTGCAAAAGTGATGGGTGATCTGTAGCAATCTTACTTTTTGATTGCTAACTTCTTCCCAGGCTAGTGATCTACTGCATGACACCCTCTCTCAATGTTGGGTTGAGCTCCCAGTCAGCTTCTTAATCATGAAGGAAAACAACTGATACTCTGCTGTGCACGGTGTGTGTTGTTGAGCCAGGCTCTTTGGTGGGCTGAGTATATGAAGTCTATTTTTGACTTACTGCATTTTCAGCCTACAATGGGTTGATTAGGCCATCACTTCCATTGTAAGTCAAGGACCATCTTTACAAGATATTCCAAGCCGTGCGCATTCTGGTTTGGCTCCCTTTGTCTTCTAAACACCACTCTTTGTGTCTCTTATGGCAGTATCAACCTATCTCAATAGCTCAATTTTCAGAGGCTCTGTGGCTTTATTCCTTGCACATGCTTCTCAGTCAGAAGTAGGAAAGAATGACTAGCTGACCGCACAACATTTCCCTTGCCCTCATCCCTGTCCACATGGCAGCTTCATGGCGAGCCCAGTGCATTTCAGCAACAGGGACTCCCATGGGAAGAGCCCCAGGAAACCCTCCTCTCTGACTTCCCCACATACTCATTAGACTGCACACAACTATCATTAAAGCCCCATTGCTTCGTCTAAAAATCTGTATTAGGAATAAAAAACTACCACTTCTTAAACTCTTACCCCTACCGCAACTTAGCACAACTTTGTCTCTAATCAGTTCTTTGTTTTTTTTCTGTCATTCCCGATAGACATGCTATGAAAGACTCACACGGGATTTTACTATCAGTTAATTTTATCATTATTTCAAGTCTTGGATAGAAGGTTCTCAGTCCGCTAAGAAAGAAGAAAAGAAAAAAAAATCCACCTTGGAGTGACAGCATACATTGGGAAGTGGGGGAGTGACAGAAAGAAAGAAAAGATGGAAGACTGGAAGATACCAAAAGTGAAGTCCATCTACTTGATTGTCCTGCCCACAGAAGCTCTAACAAACTTAATAGTATTTCAAGTAACACTTTGATTAGATACCAAAAACAGCAAAACAACTTTCTGGTCAAAGTACTCCTTGACTCTCCCAACCTTGGAGAAAAAGGTCAACACAAAAGAATGATAATTTCTGCCAGCCTGGGGTTTAGCTATCCCTAACATGACATCTGCCCAATGGGCCTGAGAAATAATTTATCTCTCCAAAAGTAACCAATTCTTCTAATTCCAGAGAAAAACCCTCCTACTTGCTTTTTATACCTGTGTATGCAGAGCCCTCTCCAATCCCAAGACTCCACAATCACCCAAGCGCCTCACCGCCAGCCCAACTCCATAAAAATTATTCCCCAACTCCCCTTTTAGAGGGATTTTGCACTCTTCAGCAGCCCTCCCATGCCCACAATAAAGGATTGACTCTGTATCTCCCTACTGTGCTGAAAAATACTAACAAAGAAGGCTTGACGTATGATTTCTGGAAGGAGAAATGTTTTGTCTTTCAGTATTTCCTGCAAGAAAGAATGTTGGGGAAGAAAAACACAAAAGAAGGCAATTTTCTTCCATCAGTAAAATGAACCTCAAAATACAGATCTTGAAGAAAACACAAATTGGAATTTCTCTACATCTCTGTAACTCCCTATTTACTCTACCTGAAGACCTTAGTGGTTTTCCATTGCTTCACAAAAACTATCAGTTAAGAATTGAGTCATGTGAGCAATGTCCTATGAGCTATCTACTCTGCCTTGTTTTTAGAAGCATTTTTTGAGCAATACTCTCGCTGTTTACATGTTACATTCTCTGATGCCGTAATACGTATTTGGAGGTTTTGTAATAAAAATGTATTGTCCATGGATAAGACAGGTGGAGTTACACAAAAGGGGGTACAAAGACTTAAAAGAAAATCACTGCATTGTCTAATCTAAGTCTGTTCCTCTAGTTCTGCACCACTGGGCAAACAACTCACACTCATGATCAGTTCACTAACCTGCAGAGCACAAACAATAGCACCTACTTTACCAATCAGTTATGAGGCATTAGCAAGGAACTCAATACCACACTCTTGCCAAGGAGGTGTTGTCCTTTCCGATTTATGTCGGTATTGTCTTACTGACAAATGATTAAGGATCACTTTAACTTGTTTGGTTCTTCAGACTTTAAATGGAATTACAATAATAGACAAAAGAAGAAACATGGTAGTTTTTCCTTCTGCTACTGGCCAGCTTCCAAGTTCAATCTGGGTCTTTCCTCTAGGATTACACAGTGGCGCTGGGTGACAGGGCCTTAAATCAAGCAGAATATTTAATTACCAGAACTATGTGGCTCCTTTGATTTTGACAATTCCATCACTCTATGTCATGCAGTCTTATTTTAGGCTGCAAGGTCCAGACTCCCTAAACATACCTGCAAACTTTCTTCCAAAAGTTTGTCCCCATACCACAGAATGCTGGCAGACAGTGGGAGAGGATTCTCTGCTATTCAAAGAAATCTACATGTTTTTATCCATTCCCATCAGAAACCCTTGAAAACTAAGGCTTTAAAAAGAAAAGTCAATGAGAGGATTGCCTTTCATTCCTTCTGCCTCCCAGCTGGCAGCAAAGTCTCTAAGTCAAGACGAACAAGGTCCAAGTTATTGCTTTATAGAAGCAAAGGGGCTGGAAAAATAGAAAATCAATCAAAAGAGCTCCTTTCCTGTTTGTTTTAAAAATACATACAGCACAAAAAAAAAAAAACCCTACAAATTCAGAAAATGTCTCTTTATATACTGAGGAGTCACAGTTCTAGTAAGTCTTTTGGTGTATACAATCTGATAGTAAAAGAGGAAACTCTGATAGGTACAGAAAAAACCACGGAGCAGGGGGTGTGAGTGAATCAGACTTTGACAGTGCTGTGAGAGTCTGAGGGAACCGAGCAGCAGGTGACTGATTTCAAAAGTTCTCAGAGATGGGTGGGTCCACAGAGGGAATTTCATAAGCAGAGGTGAAAGAGTATTAGAATACATTGCCGGGACAGTGAACAGAATTAAATCTGATTTTTATTCTACTTTGTTGAGTAGCTGTGTCAGGAAGAATCGAAGGCTTGGACCCCAAATAAATAGTGTGGCAGTGACTTGTAGGTGAGATCAGCCCTGGGATGGGCATGGGGGCTACAGAGGATACGGAGGACCTCAAGTCTCAGGTAAAGCAGGAGGGACAAGAGAAACAAATCTGGATTTTGAACCAAGCCTCTTGTGGGTGGGGAACCACATACAGAACAAGTATAGGAGAGCTGCTTGCAGGTGAGGAGGGGCTAAGAGACAAAACGACAGATGAGCAAAGAGCAGTTAGGCAAAGTTACTTTCTGGTGGGGAAAGAAGCCCTGCAGTTTGAAAAATTGGGGATCTGACTGTGAACTTTGAATTATTAAAAAAAATCTAAGTAGGCTGTCAGGTTCATGAGGGTCAGGGCTAAATCAAATACTTCTCAATGTTGCATTAAATGATAAAATGTAGTACGTGGAGCTAGCAAGGTTGTTGAAAGAAGGGAAGGAGGTAAAGAAAAAGAAAAAAAGGAAAAAGAAAAGAATTAAGGAACAAAAGACAAGGAAGAGATGAAATATCACAGTTGAGGAAGGAGAAGAATTAAGGGAGGGAATGGCCAATGACAGCCTTCAAATGATGGAGACACATTTAGAGAAATTGAGAAAAAGCCACTGATCTTTAAGAGGCCCCTTGAGACCTTGTATGCCATAGCTCGAGAAGTGGACAGGGCAGAAACCACCCAGGAGGGTTGCAAAAATAACAGGATGTGAAATCACTTGGCAGCTCAGTTAGGCAAATGGTAACCAAGAAACTCTACTGGCCCCTGTTGGCACGGACATCTACATACCGAGTTTCTCAATAAGGTGGCAATTCTGGAGTTCTACTGGCACCACTTCTCGAGATGCATTCATTTTTTCTCTGTAGAAATTTAAAAAACAACACAGAGCTCAAGGTACCAACTCCATAATCAATGTCTAATCCCAGTCTTTAGTTACCTGCATGTTGGTTAACTCTTGTGCTTTTATAAGTTAACTTCACTTTTATTACTGAAAGACTAAAACATGATTATGCATGCAAAATATTTTCCTGTTCAGATGAAAAGCACTTTTAAAGTGTAACTAAATGACATTATGAGTTGAAGTGCCCCAAATAGCATTAATTAATTTTCTAAGACAATGTCAGTCATAAATCTGGATTTCTTTCTTTCAGTGCTGTCATCTTGCTTTTTGACTCCTCCCCCCCAAAACCCCACTTTCCCAAATTTCAACAGGGTCTCTGAAAAGCTAAACCCTGCAATTTTTGCTTTAGTATTTTTATGTGCTGAGTTACTTTGCAAACACATAAATTCATTAAACTCACTACCATTTAAACAACTGGCAACGTTTCAGTGCAGTGTTATTTCCACAGTGAAACAGCCTTATAAATATTATGTATAATTTAAATTTTTATGAGACACTATTCAAATACACATTAGGGTGTGGATACAGCTTAGTGGTAGGACACTTCCCAAACCTGCTCCTCAAAACCTTAAATCTAATTGTTATTATTTTATGATCCTGTCTCTTGATTGCACCAGGAGCAAAGACCAGTAAGCAACATCAAGGTGAACTAGAAAGCATTACCAACAGGCATCAGGAATTTCTGCGTATTCTCCAAGGACAGAGACAGAGGAAGGCAAGTGCAGTGCCTGTCCCCTCCTCAAGGTCCTCCTTTCTGGCCCAGTGCAGATTGTTCCCGGGATTGGAATCTGGTCAGTGTGATATCTGCAGCTGCTTTTTTTGCAGCTGGGTCCCAGAAGGAGTTTGTAAGCCAGTGTCTGTCGCTGTCTAGGCCGGCTGAGACAATGCATTGTCTGGTCAGTACAGGTTGTACGGTGCAGCCTGGTCCCCTCGCAAGCCCAGCACCTCCAGGTGCTTCCACTCGTGAAGGCGCCATGGAGAGGGGACAGACCTGACCCTCGGAAGACAGAGGCTAGAGGCGACCTCTCTGCCCTCCTGTTCCAGGAAGGCGACCTGCCATGCAGCTGTCCTGGAAGCTGTTTCAGAGGGACCATGGGTCAGCAGGCCTGGGGGGGGGGGGTTCTGAAGTCACACCTTTTCTCTCTGGGATGGTGGCAGTCCTGGATCTAATCTGGGCCACGAAGGGGACAGAACCGGGCACGCAACCGCGGAGATTCCCACTCACCTAAAAGTCACAAACTTCTGCCCCAAAAAGGCCAGACCGGTCCCCAGCAGGATCCATGTCGCTAGCTTCGCCATCGTCCGCGCCCAGCGGCCCAGCAGCCCTTATCACTCTGGCTCAGAGGGTGAGGGCTGGCACCTCCCAGGCCTGCAGCCTCTGGGGGCCGGGGCTGGGCGCGGCCTGCGCAGCTGCTGAGGGCACCTGCAAGGGCACCTGCAAGAGCACTCGCTGGGGCGCGGCCTCCGCGGGGTTCTGAGGCCACCTTCCCTCCCCTCCTCTCTTCCTCTCCCCCTCTGCTTCCCCTTCTTCTTCACTTCCTCCCTCTGCCTGTTCTCCCAGAGGTTCCGTTTACAGCAGGGGTTTGGCCAGAGCACCAGCCGGTGTCTGTGCTGCCCAAGGAAGCACCCGAGGGCAGAGCCGGGACTGTTTGCTGCTCAGCCCTGAAATCCGATCTCCCTTCCCAGGCTGACTGACAGCGCCCGGAGGGGCAGGGCAGGCTGCCAAGCCAGATCTCACGGGCCCACACCGGGGGGTTTCTGGCTGGCAACTTTGCACGTTCAAACTCGCCCTTCTTCAAGATTTGAGGCACAGATCTCAGGCTCCCGAACCTCTGCCCACCCCCTCCTGTCCCAGGCTGAACGGGTGTCTGCCCTCAAAGAACCTGGAAGAAGGGGAAAAAAAGAGAAAGGAGAAGATGAGCCCAGGGGAGAAAGTGCGGCGGGACTACCTAGCATGGAGCTGAGACTTCACTGAGAGTAATGACTGCATGGTGTGATGGTTCTCACATCTTCTCAGCAATCATTTTCAATTAACGTGTCTGGCCTTGCACTTTGTGTCTATGGAATCATAACACCTGATAAAATCTACACCTAACCTTTGGGATGCCTGAGTCAGCAGAAAGACCTTGCCTGTATGCCACACTGGCCTTGTAGAGACCAGAGTCCATCGGTGTCACAAAGAGGGTTTGTTGTCCTTGAAAGAGCAGATAAATTCAAGCCCAAATTGGCTCCCTAGTCTTTAGAAATTCCCCATTACCCTGAGCCTCTCTTTTCTTATGTGTACAGTTGGGCTTTTCAAAGAGCTAATATGGACCAAATAAAATAGTATGTGTCTAGACAATAAGTAGCACAATATTTACATCTAGTTAGTCCAACACCATTGATTATCAAAATGCCATTCAGGGGGATATGGAATGTATGTATGATGTAACAGTATTATATATTTAAAAAGTTACGTATTACAAACAGGTACAAGGACAATATAGGCACAAATTGAACAGTGACTTCAGGAGCAGAAGCTTGAGGTCATGCTGAGGGGGAGGTTAGTGAGGGGGAGGGAGTCCTTGCTTTTATTTATGGCTTTCTGTGATGTTTGAAAAATTTAAGACATTTATATTGATGCTATTTATAATTGTAAAATGCTTGATCAAAACAAGATTGTTCATATCAATGACTCTTGCCTAAAAAAAAGAAGTGGTGATGGAGGAAGAGATTAACAAGAAGTCAAAAGAGAAATGAGTATATCTCATAAAGTTGCTCTTCTAAAGGAGGGTACAGGTGTCAGACCGTTAGGAAGCATCGTCATGCCCCATAGAGGCCAATGCACGCACGTGGATATGGATAACTATATGTGCTTGCTATGTGTCTTGTGCTGATCAGAGGAAAAAAAAACTAGAAGGCAGAGATGTATTACTTTAATATACTTGAGTTTAAATAAAATTCACAATTCCATTCTGAAGATGCATCTAATAGGCAGTTGCATGATGAATGTCTGATATCTTCGTCAGTTACCTCCCAAAGTGTATCCCACAATGGAGAACACCCAGCCCACTCAGGACCTCAGGTACAGCCTGAAAGGTGCTTGGATTCATCCATGCTGGGTGTTTGTGGCAACTAGAAACACCAGGGCCCTTGTTCATGTTTCAGTATCTGGGTGCCATGTGAATGGGAGGAGTTTCAAAGCGTCACACCACCAGAGAGGTCCTTTCTGGACGCATCTACACTAACTTCTGAGGATCCTCCACTGATGTGCTGGAGTCCCTCAGTGCCTCTGGCTTGGACTACCTCTCCAAAATATATTACAATGTTTTAGTCAATACAAACTTAGTAGACTATATGAGCAGGAGAAAGGGCAGTGAGGCTTGCAGGAAAAGAGCTGGAGGATCTGTAAGCACCTGAATTGAAACAGCAATAAAACCTGTCCCGGATACAGGTAAAGCAGTGGCTCTTGAACTTCAGTCAGGCTAAGAATTACTTGATGGGCTTATTGAAGCACACAGTACCGGGTCCTGCACCCAGAGGTCCTGTTTTTTTAGAAAAGGTTTGCAAATTTGCCCTCTACCTAGTTCACAGGTGATGTTACTGCTGATCCAGGGAACACATTCTGAAAACCACTGAGCACAAAGGGCTGGGAGGATCACGGTGGGAACTGAGTCTGGAGAGGTAGGTAGGGCTTAAGGCCAAGTTCAGAAATTTGAATGGTATTGTAGAGGGCACTGAGAAATCATTAGAAGCAACACAGCCCAGTAGATATTTCAAAAACATTACTCCACATTGATGAGAACACATAGAGACTTGCCTATCCTGGAAGCAGAGCTGCAAGATAACTGGAGGACAGTTGGAAGCTTTCCTGAATAGTCTGGGTGAGGTAAGTAATGGTGACTGGAGATGTACAGATTTTTTCCCCCAATGTCCTTAGAACTGTATGGATCTGAGAAATACTGAAGTGGGTGGTCTAACGATATTGGATTGGTTGGATGTAGGGAGAGGGGTGGAAAGAGAGAGGAAAAATTGAAGAAAAGATGTGTAGACTTACAGAATGTGGTGGAGAAGACTGTATTCATGGATATGGGACCTCAGAGGAGGCATGCCATGGATACACATGTAAAGAATGTCTTCCATTTGATATATAGGCGAAATCTTTAAGTTTTCTTCAGTGTTAAAGTCACATTTACTATGAGCATCGTTTTGATGAGCAAATGAAGTCCATGTAATAAACTCATTTTCCTGTTACTAACAAGACCCATTTCGATGCTGCACAGGATACCAGGCAAAAAGACATTAAGGTTTGCAAAAAATGAACAAACAAACAGTTGATCTGCACTTAGTCTGGAAACCACCCCCTCAAGGCTCCGTTTGAGCATATTTATGGGATAAAGAAGTAGGGTCCCCCTACGCACATCTATCAATCATCATGACTTTTCAGACTACACATTCAGAGAACAATTGCCTTTGCATGATGTGAGCATTCAGTCTCTGACTTTGAGTCAAACAGTCAAAGGAATTGGTGATTTCAGTAAAAGTGGTTTGTGCATCCTTGAAAAGTAACCTAGGCAACCATTAGCATGGTCCTTGTATTAGAGGTGCTATCTACAGCAAAGCTACTGGAAGACTGATATGTTTCTTAGCCACTTGACCTCCAAAACTGATGTTTGTAGCAACTAAAAGCAGGTCAAACTAGAGGATTTATTTAGGTTTCACCTGCTATTTCACTCTGAGTAATGTCTCCTGCATTCAGTATTTTGAATGTTTGAAACATTTTGGTGTAGCTTTCTACTATAATCAGAAGCATCTTTTCCTTGTGGTTTCAGACCCTATTAAGAAACACAGGGCTTGGGTGTAGGTCAGTGGTAGAGTACTTCCTAGCATGTATGAGGTCTTGATTTGGTCCCTGGCACTGCCAAAACAAACAGAAAAAAATTTTACACAGTTGATTTACAGTTCTTACTAAATATCTGTAAGAAAAAAAGTAGGCATCCTTGTAAGAAAGAAAACACAAAAGTACACCAAAAAATTATATAAAAATGTCTTTAAACTCACTAGTAATAAGAGAATAAAAATTAAAACACACTGGAAGAAAATTTTATGATGGGAGTAGGAGGCTAAAAGAGCATTACTAGGATTCTTCTAGTCTCCTTCCCTCACAGTCAGGGATCCTACCGTGAAAAGCCGTGCTAGTAACGAAGCAAATGTGGGTGGTGTGGTGATGGGTTCCGTTACTTCTCCATTCCGTGGCCTATGGAGGCTGAGACTCCTAGGTAGTATTCAAACTGAGTCAATCAAAATCTAGAGAAAAGACTATCCTTAGTTGTCATAAATAATTTAGGCATAAAATGAAAAATATACAGAGTAACTTATATTTAAGTTTCCTAGTTTCCTGTTTTTAAATATGCCTGTTCACACTTCACAGTTACAAAAGAGTGAGGTACTGTAAAACAAAACAAAACCAAACAAAACAAAAAGATGGTTATCTCAAAACACACACATAGAAAGACCTATCTCCACCTAGTGGTGCCACACATTAATTGCAGTTTCAGTTTCCAAGGAACACTTTTTTTAAATTTTAAAAATAAAATCGAGCAAAATAAAACAGAATCAAGCCAATCAAAACAAACCAGTGTAAGTGAAACATGACTTCAAAACAACACAAAATCAACAATGGTTACCTGAATGGCTCTTGTCTTCAAAGTAGCTGCAGATACCTTCAGACATAATAAAATTTTTTAAAAAAGTGGAACAATAGAACCAATAAAAACAAAACAATGAATGCAGTAAAGGACTTCAAAACAAGACAATAATAAATCCAAAATGGCTACCATAATACATCTTGCTATCTTTGAAATCACTGCCCATGCTCTCGGATATAACAAAATCAAACAAAACAGAACAAAACCCAACCCAACAAAACAATGAAAATGATACAGGAATTCAAAACAAGATAAGGAATTAACAACGGTTACCACCTTCACAAGAAGATCCCCCATAGATGCCCCACCATGTACTGTTATTCTCTGAATAGATGACCAAACCACTGGCCCTAGACCTGCAAAGTCACTGAAACACCAAACACAAGCATCAAGTTGCATTTCACCTCAATAGGTATCATCACAGCCTGTGTTTCTCTGGATCAGCTGGTTGCTTACCAGGATGGGGGGAGGGGAGGGGGAGTGGTTCTTGTTTCCCAGCCCTGCACTGCAAGGGGCTGGGGTCTGCTGTCCTCCCCAGCAGCCCTTGCACAGTGCTAATTCATGGGGAGGGCTTGCTTCTTGGTGACTTCTTGTTCTCTTCCCCTGCCCAAAGATAACTTCTTAATGACTAAATTGTTTAACTCAATAAATGATCACCAAAAGAGATAGCCACAAACAAATATACAATATAGTTAAACAAATAGAATCCCCCATGAACCACAGAAACCAAGAGTTTATTTAAAATTTTTTAAAGATAACACATGCTTATTGATATCTTTTGCCTGAAGTTTTTAATAATTAAAGTATAAAGCATTTTTATTTTCTGCTTACTGTATTCTTACTATTTTTATAAACACAACCTCTTAGACAATATCTCCTAAAATCCTAAAACATATACTTCTTAGTTTTGAATTTCTAAGTGAACAATGTTTAATCTTATTTCACTAACATTTTCTCCCACAGATAAAGGAAAGAGTAATAGTCATTATTTTAGCAAAAACCACGCCCAACTCTTTATTAACAGATGATTTAAAAATATGAATTAAAAACAGGCCAAGTAGATCAAGTTTAAGAACAGTTTTGAAATTTACATTTAAAAGCCACTAAATAGCTCATCTTAACAGAATTCAAGCCGAAAGGAGGTGGAGATGGAGAAGGAACTGTGTACATTAGAAAAAAGATTAAACACAAAGTATTGAACAGCTCAATGATGGTAACTTCAAAGTTGTTAGTGGTGTAAGTTCTGGCATCAGAAATAGATGGATATTGAACCCTGAAAAATGTTGACAGTGATACAGTATCAGTACTTGCTCTCTCATGGCTGCAGTTAGGATTAAACAAAGTAGCAAAAGTAACATTTTGAGTGTACTGTCGGGCACAGTGTAATGAAGCCACAAAAATTTTCAGTGGTAATGATAGAAACGAGTACACAGTATGAGTGGTGAAGTAAAGCATTTTGATAAGTTACAATGGAAAGAAATACAAGAAAGTTTCCCTCCAGGGATTAATATGATTTTCAGGGGGTACAGTGAGTGGAGAAAGCTCTTGCTCCTGGGCGGGGCGGAAGCACCTTTCACCCTGACCCCAGTGCTGCTGCTCACACAGAGGGTCCTGGACGCCTGACTTCTAGCTCTCCTGGTTTCTGTTCACAGATGAGACAATGTGCCAGCTCAACTTCTACCTCAAGGTACACAAGGTGGGCTCCCATTTGGGGACAGACCTGGTGGAACAATTGCCCTACTGTTGAATTTAAATTTCAGTACTTAGTCAACTTTGTGTATTTGTTTTACATTTTTTGAATAAAGAGCCCTTTCGTGTCCAGCTTTCAATGACAGAAAGTGACACAGGGGTGCCTATCCGGAGGAAATCCCACAGGAAGTGGCTGCTTCCCATTGCGAGGCTATGTCTTGAGAATGAAACACGTACACAACTTGGATTTCAGTTAGTCTTTAATATAATTTCACACCTTTAATAATAAACAAAGATGGAAATACAAAACTTCCAAATATTATATGTCAGTAGTTCTGAACGCTCACAGTGGTCACAGGTGGGAACTGAGGGGACTGAACATTTCCTGCTCCAGTGGGCCCATGCTCTGTATTTGGAAGGCAAACGTGAGGCTCATTTTGTGCAAAGTGTATTCACTTTACAGGAAGGCAGTTTTCTTTCCTCCCCCTTACCTGGCATTAAGAACAGCAATGTTCACTTTCATGTTAAAAGTGCTGTAAGAACTAAAGAAGACTTTCCTTGCAGAAATAAAACGAACTATATATGCAATGCAGATCTGGGTCTATATCGTTGGTTCAAGTCCCTCAAAATGAGCGATTCATGGAAAATTAATTGTTAGAGGTTGTTACACTTAAACACCAAAACTGCAATTTAGAGTTCACAGTACAAGGCTCTGTGGTATAAAGTGCCGATGAGGAGCTTGCCATAGTAGACTGAGGCCACAGAACTTCCCTGGAGGACAGATCCATTGTTGGCATAAACCGTAGACACGGAAGGCTTCTCGGATAGAATGTTCTGGATGCGCAAAACCTATTCAAGAATACAAAGTATTAATGCAAAACACCATAAGCCCATGACACTCAGCCACCAATAATCCCTGTCCAACACAATGACCCAGTGATTAAGCCTGTTGAAAACAGGCTGTTGAAAACAATGGTTCCCAATCTTTTTAATGCTAAAATTAACATACTTTCTTAAACCTTCAAAGAAAGCACTTTTTAAAACCATCTAGTTTGCCACGCCAACACAGGATTTAGTGTTATTATGGCAATTCAGCATTAATATCAAATACTTACACACTAATGTGCCCACTTGCACACTACTGCACCATGAACAAAGTCCTGTCATGTGGTGATCTGACAATAAACCAAATATTTTGAAAATTGCCAGTATACTGCACAAGGACATGTCTTTATAGAAATATCTTTGACTTGTTTCCACCATAATTTAATACAACAAAAGATTATCTTTCTTAAAGCATCTGAACAATGTAACATTCTGCCAATTACTGGCTTAATGCAATTATATAATCATTATATAAGTTTATTGTATTATTGCTTGAAAACAACTAATAGATCATTCCTGTGACAGTTCATCCCATTGCTAGTTCAAAAGGTCTTGAATAATTAAGGTTGAAAAACTAAAAATACAAGAACCTCGGATGAAGGAGGATTGTTTGGGTCATACACGAAGAGCTTCTGGCCATTAGGATGACAGCTGGCCCAGATGTCCCCCGAGAAAGGGTCGATAGATAAATTATCCACCAGGGTATCCAATGGGAGTACCTTCCAAAGGAAAAGATGTCAATATCTGGATGACATAAGAAATTCAATGTAGCTTTTCCTGCCTCTATGTACATAGGTAAAAGACACGTATTTTCCTGCTTCCACCCACCTCACACCAATGTTGCTTAAAATAATTTTAACAAACTGGTTTGGAGGTACATTTCTTCTTTCTGAAATTAAGAAAGTTAGAGTAATAATGAGCCTACTTCTCCTCTAAAAGATACACAACGATCAATTAGCTCAAGGAATTCTATTGAAGCAAGGTAAGAGATTCTTAATCAGCCTAAAATATGTGTCATCAAGTAAGTAGAAAATAATAATGGTGTGGGACTCAATTTCTATCTTCATTCATTATTGAGAACTGACAATGTATATAAATCTTCATTTGAGAATTGATCTATGTCTTTTTTAAGATTAAAAAGCCACAGAAATGAAAAACCAAAAGCAATACAAACAAACTATAAGAAACCAAATACAATAACAGTATAGGCTTACAAAACAAGATAGTAGGAAATTGATAATTGTTATAATATTGCATATTGTTACCTTTAAGAGGGTTGCTTAGATTAACAGATATAGACATGTAAAATTGATCTAAACATACGGATAGTAACTGTTCTAGAGCTCCAGTGGTGCAACTGGTTAGTGCGCGGCACTTATACAATAGTAACTGTTCTGTTCCAATAAGTAATACAATTAGTAGTACAGTCATTTTAGCTATCATAAATATGTATATGTATATATGTGTATATACATATACATTTATGTCTTTTTCCTTTTTTCTTCCTTCTTTCCTCCTTTCCCTTATTCCAATTACTTTTCCTCTCTGAACAGCTTCTTACCGCTACACAGTATTTACTGTAGATTTTGGAACATACATAATTTTTCAGTTTCTTACGCTAGGGAGACAAAACGGTATTTACACATGTGAGTTTGATTTATTTCACTTTTAGATGTGAAAATTCTTGTTGGAATTCCTCTAATGCCATCAATAGTTGATGGAATGAGCCCTAATTCCCATGTAAATATGCAAATATCCCTGAACATGAGGCTGCATATAATTACAGCTGGTCCTTGTGACCACTGGGAAGAGGAATTTCACTTCTACGGTGGTATACTGAAAAATGAAATAGCTACACTGGTATCTGTCTTCTAAGTACAGTATTATTATAATATGGAACTGCAAAGCATAATACATTAATATGTATACTTAAAAATATTTACCTTTGATTGAGTTAAATTCATATCTGGTTGTTTTTCAAAAACATGGATTTCATGAGCCAATGTGTCAGCCACATAGATGTACCTTTACCAAAAGGACACACTGGTTAGCACTACCTGCCAAGAGAAAGCTTCAGAATAGAGTATAAGAGAGTAAGTCTTAATAACCTGCCAAGAAGCTAATCAATGATGGGCCCTTAAGGAATGTTTGATAAAGGTCAATTCTTATTTAAAAGATAAATTTTCAGAATCAATTCAGTGGTACTACAACAAAGTAGGATTATTAAATTATTTTTCAAAAGGTCTGTAATAAAAAAATGACAACAGTTTGAATATAAAGTTCATGATACTTGCCATTGAAATGACAATCAAATAAATACTAAACTTACATTACACAGTATAACTTGATATTTCTAACTATTACTTATATATAGGAATATGGGGCATGGAATACATTTTATTAAAATAGTTACTAATATTAATATTTAATCAAATGTTAGTACATAGAAAAATTCAAGAGTAAGAGATACGCATCTACTGAAAACAATCTGTCTACATGGAATGTGAGGTGATTTAATGAATTATCTGAAGGCAAGTTTATTCACTCAACTGATTATTACCTGATGACTGTCCCATTGGGTAAGCATGTGTAAAGCCATGAACTTAGTGTGGTGGCAAAAATAAACATGAAGTAGGCATTGCCTCTGCCAGCAGAAGCTCACCATGTGATGAGAGGACCTCATTGGTTAGTAAACATGAGCCCCCGAGGTCAGCATGGTTGATACCACAATAAATAGTCCAGATCTAAAGACTCAATAACAATGCAGTGGCATAATGACAAACAGTCAGCACAGTTCAACAAATCACTGAGCATTTGCTCTGCACAGGGTGCTGTACTTGGCCCGTGGAGTCAAAATGAGGCCAGAGCTCCCCACACTGGTGACTCTTTAAAGGCTAATGATCCAAAGAAAGACAAAACTAGCAAGACTGCAAAAGACAGAAGTAGGCTAAAAAGGACCTGGAATGAAGGATCAGGGAGTCGAGTCAGGAGAATGAGAATCTAAGCCAGGCGAATGTCAAGGGATGGGGAAGCAGGTAAAGCCAACAGGACTTGCTCACTAGTTGGATCAAAGTGGAGGAGGGTTACAGCAGAACTCTCTTTTCACTGTTCCTATGTTTAGCTCTGGGGTCTGAAATATGAGAGTTGGGAGCAAAATCATATTTGGCTGGAGAGGTTGGATCAGGTCAGTTAGTGATGACTTAGAGTAAATGACTGATTCTACTATTATTTTCTGTAATCAACAAGAAAAAAAAAAGAGAAATTGCATCACAGTAAAGAAGACATTTAGTTGTTAAGGAATGCCACATTTATTTTCTGTTATATATGTAGTTATTGAAATTGTTCACTATGCTAAGGCAGTAGAAGAAAAAGTAAAAAAAAAAATTAATGTTCTTTCTTGTAGGTTGTGTTGGGCAAATAAAAATGGTAAGAAAAGTTTTAGGAGACAATTGGCAATATCTATTAAAATTAACATTTAGAAGGCACCATTTGAGCAAGTAGTTTTACTTCTTTGGATTTGATCTACAGAAATAATTGCACAAAGTGTGCTAATTGGCCAGCTTGGATTTGAACCCAGGTCAGTGTGAGTCCAAAATCTGCAAGCTGAATCACTCTGCTCTAATGTTATTTTACGGAATTTATCCTTCAAAATATCTGAATGTGTTCTGATGGTAAATTAGAAGTACAAAATGGTATTCATAAAGGAAAAGAAAAAAAATACCAACCTGTATATTCACCAACACAAAATTGGTTAAGTTAGTGTAGGATCATCCTTAGAATAACATACAGCCATAAAACAATGTTGTTTTAAAAGGAATTATCTATTTGATACTACTATGAACATGTCAATACGATCCTATTTTATTAACATTTACATTTGTAAAATTAAATTGGACAATGACATATACCTAAATTTATATACCTAAGTTTAAATACATTTATAATAGGTAAAGATACATGGTTATTATATGTAAGTATATTATATATAAATGAGATTATATAAGATGTTAGCAGAATTATTTTCAAATAGAAAAAAAGCAAGGAATTAGGCCAGTGGAATGGCTTTGGAGAAATGAAGATGTTCTATAAAGGGTCATACTTTTTATCAGGTGAAATATTGATCCCATTTGCAAAATCAAATCCTTCTGCTACCACTTTCACTTCATTTGGACTGTAGTAAACAACACTGGCCCAGTGTAAGTTCAAGTATGTCTCCAAATACTTTAAGAAAGGATCAAAGAAGTAGTGGTCATTGGTGGCATAGAAATGCATCGGTCCAACAGCTATGATATCATTTGTACTGAAAGAGAAAAATAACAAGTGAGAGAAAGTAAATATAAATGTGGATTTCCACATTAAAAGCCAGGTATTCATAAAGTTTTAAATTTTTCCTAAGAGGAAAAGAGGAGTTAATATATCAGATGGCTAAGTTCATGTGCAATATACCGTAATATTATTTCTAAGAGGACAAATGTGTAGTAGCAGGTAATTTTGAGAACAGATCATTTACAATTATGGTAGGATCATTATTAAAGAAAAGAGAATTTTGTGCCAGCAGGGTCGGTTTTGTGATGCAAGCAATGCTGGGCTTGGCAGTCACAGCGCTGGGTAGAGTCTGATTGGCTGTGGGCTGGTTAGCTGGTCGTCCATAACACTCACCTCACCTCCATTTACTCCAGATGCAAGATTTTCCTGAGGTCCCTCACTCAGGTATTAGTCAAAATAAGGCTGACTGTTCAATTTCTACCTGCTTCACACAGCCAACATGCTGAGAATGAACAGGTACTGAATAAACACTTATACAGATGAATGATGAAATTGCCACAGTGCAACACTTCAGATAAGAGATTGATATGCTAAAAACAATTGCATTTTAAAGACAGGCAAGGGTGTTATTAAATTTAAATTTCCCTATGCAAAAATTTCTGAAAGAGTTGCCTTCTTGCCTGTTAAGTGAAAATTAGAGTTATAGGGAAGGTTAGGTCCCTTTTTTCAGAAAGAGCTCCACATTTCAGAGGCTATTTATTATGGTATTTATGATTCTATTTATGATGAAGTGCATTTTGGAGCAGGATGATTGGAAGTTACAAGCTTACACCTTAGATAGGAAAGTAGAAGTTAAAAATACCCATCAAATTTAAACAAAAGCAGACAGCCAATGCAAGCTGATCCTGCAGGACACACACAACTCTCTTTCAGTCATATTATCCACCTGTGTTGTGGTCTTGTAGTAGTAGTGACCATGACCAACCTGCATCTTGTAGTAGTAGTGACCATGACCAATCGGACTGCATCCGATTCTGCAGGGCCAATTAGTTTACAGTCACCGCTAACCTGTGAGAGCACTTTGTATAACACAAAGTATTAACCAGGCCACTTTTCCTTGGCAGGACAGGTGTGCAGGTGTTGGGTCATTCAAGAGAAGGCTGCTAGCAGGAGAAAATGGTAGACTTTGATGTCTACTCTCCATGTGCCTGAAGAGTACTCCCTGCTAGTTCTGGAGTTTATCACTCTTCAATGGAGTCTAAATAGAGCACCAATGCAATCGACTTTCAAATGCCTGCTTCCCCTGATCCACAAGGATCTGTGTGTGTGTGTGTGTGTGTGTGTGTGTGTGTACATGTGTGTGTACACACAGGATGAGCATTCCTTATCCAAAATGCTTAGGAACAGATGTGTTTCTGACTTGTAATGTTTCTGGATCTTGAAATACCTGTATATATATAATTTGTATCTTAAGGATGAGACCTAAATCTAAACACAAAATTCATTAAAGTTTCATATGTACCTTAGGCACATAGCTGGAAGGCAGTTTTATACAACATACATACTTACATGCATACATACATACAATATACATACATCTCAGGACCTCGTGCCAATGCAATATTTTTGAAAAATCTGTGCATCAAACATTTTCCACTTGTGGCATCATTGTGGTCCTGAATGAAGTTTAGATTGTGGAGAATTTTGGATTGTGAATTTTTAGGTTAGAAATAAATGGTCAACTTGTATAAATATACACACATACCTATATGAACTCTCAAATTAATATATGTCATATGTTAGATTTTATATTATATATGAGTGAATATATATATATATATATATATATATATATATATATTCACTCTTTAAAAGGTGAGGGGGCCACATTTCCTGATGGGGAGTGTTTGAAACACTAGAGACAAACTGAATGAACAAAAGGCGGAAGCACCTGGGAAGAAGCTCATGTCTGATTGTTTTCAGGTGCAACAGAGAATTCTCTTCTTCTTCAAATTTAAAAACTTCTACTGTGCTCTTGAATTCAGGGTGGTTTACAACAAAGAGATAAACTGTGTCATCTAAAGAGTTGAAAGAACAGAGTTAATTTACAAGACATAACCACAGGACCTCTGGGCAGACACTAACATTTAAATACCATGGCCAAGGAAAAGTTGGATGTACAAGCTGTTAGTCAACCTAACAGGTCATTTTCCCAGTCCTGCCCATCACTTTCTGACTGGTGTTATTTCTGACCATTGGTTCTTGACCTTTAAGAAAGAGTGTTTCCTACTGTATGTAAAGAATTCATGCATAATCTGTTTACAGGTTAATTCAGAAATACAGCTTTTTTAAATACAATGATTACAGGTTTGTGAAAAGGTTATAAAATCCAAACATTTTTTTTCAAAACGGAGCATAGCACACTACTAGCTGAAGAGACAAGTGAACACACTGTATGAAGAATAAAGGAATAATTCATGAGTTTCTCTTCTATCAGTGTGACCCAAATCTATTTCCAATCACTTGTTAGTCATTCTTTGTTTCTCAGCATTGGTATCTTATCAGGTCTTACCATCGTCTATGAATGTGCTGATGCCATGTGGGTTAAATGAAGCCAAATCAAACCCTCGGCTGATTCTTAATTCCAGTGCCCTTGCTTTCTCTTCGTTTAGATCCATCATTAGTATTCCTCCAGGCTTATTTGGTGCAAAGCTGTGGAGCCCTGGAATTTTAAGACCCTTCCCAAAACAGTGAAAAAATTAAATATAAAATTGTAAGCACTTCTCTGAACTAAATTGCAAACTCTTCCTGGAGGACAAATAGAGACTTTGGTCTTGATTTGGTGAAGGCACAAAGCCAGAACACAAAGGCAACAGAAGACAATAGAGAAAATAATAATTAGGACCTAGAAAGATGAACAGTAACTGGGATACAATTAAAAAAACAAGAACCAAATTTATGCATAAATTGGACATCATAGGAAATCCTTAAATTCTTAAAAATCTTTAATTCCGAAAGTCATACACTTGCGAGGTTAGTAGCTCTGGAAGTAGAACAAACTGGAATTATACTATTGCTTCATGGTTGCATTTCAGTTGTTAATCATTTCCATTCTTTATTGTCTCCTAAATAACAGCATGGTTTATATGCACTGGAAGTATTGCCAGTTATAATTATTCAGGGCTCTCTTCATGCTTTTTTCTATGTCTTTTATCTTTTTAAAAATATATTTTATCTTTAACTGTGATAAGACATAAATAATATGCAGTTCATCATCACTGTCATTTTGCAGCATACAGCTCAGTAGTGTCACGTGCTTTCACCTTGTTGTTTGAACCTTTTTTATATTCCATTCTTTGATCCAAACCTTCACCAATGTTTTGAGGTGACCCTCAAATCCAAACTTAGGATGGTTTGGACATGTGAACACACTAGTAGAAGAACAAATCACTTCTATGACATCTGAGCCATTCACTTAAAAGGAAAGGCGGGTTGGAAAATGGTGGAGGCAATGCTGAGCACGTGCAAAGCTGCAGTAAAAAGGAAATGTTTCTAAATCTGCTTTAAAAAACTTTTAGAAAGTCACATAATCAAGGATAATAAACAACAACAACAAAAAGCAGGAAAAATTCCATTGACATGGTTACAGGATCACTGAGACTGTATTACCACTCTCAGCTAACAGGGTTGTACTAAGTGCTAGGAGATTTCATTCCTTCTTCAGATTTATTCCACGGGGGGGGGGGATCTCTTGAAATACCTAAGTTCTGAGTTACACCAATCTCCAGCAACACATCCTTGCAACAAACAAACAAGCACCCGATGCAAACGCTGTCTACTCGAGTCAGGCTTTCTGCGTCTCTGGTCATGAATAACTGTGACTGTCTCAGTGCTTTCTCCACACCTATAACCACACACTTCTAAACAAACCCAGAGTCCTACTACAAATATCACCTGATGCGTTTTGTGTAGGCAATTGGATAAAATTTTACTTATAAAACTCTATTTTGAAAATTAAATATAAATACTGATGTTTCTGCTGAAACCCATGGTATTTTTTTCACCCTCTGTAGTAATAACCAGCTGCTCAGTCACATAAAATCTATCAGAAACATGAGAAGTGTTCTAACCCTCATTTTCTTCCAAGCTAAGTTCTCTCACCTTTCTCATAAGTCTGACAAATATTTTATTAGTGTTGCAGTTCTCTTCCAAACCATCTCCAAGGTTTTCACATCCAACCCCCCAAATCTCAGAACCTGAGAATAAGGGATGTTAAGAGGAAAGAGAATCATTACAGGCACACTTTAAAGCCAGGTCTTTCTCAGGAAACACTGGAGCCAAGGAAGACGCAAAAAGCTTGTACCTCAGCAAGTCACGGAAGGGCACACTTATTTCACTGGCATACTTACCTGAATTTTGAGTTCAAATGGACATGGATACAGGCCAGCATCAGACAGTCCACCCAGTTTTAAAGTCTTTGTATTGCATACTCAGAAGGGATATTACTCTTTGGTTTATAAGAATTAAGGCAAAAATGAAGGATATAAGAAAACTCTGACTTTCCATTTATAATAGGTTATGCAGAGGGAAAAAAAGGAAAAAAAATATTAGCCTTGGTTTGGGAAAGTTGTCACAATGAAATATAACAAATATGGATGTGTAAAATGAAAATGTTTAAAACTAAATATGTCATGGAAAGCATAAGATGCTATATTTAAAATAGTACATTATTAGATATACTACTATAATAATATAGTATTATCCGCAGTGATGCTTCCAACATCCATTTTAATAACACATGTATAAAATACAGGTTGTATTGGGATACTTTAGTGCAATGCAATGGGCAAATAAACAATCATAAGTTAACTGGCCAAGACTCTTCATTTCTGCATTCAGAAAAGTTTAAGGACGTTTTCTAAGATCCAGTTTAACCCATTTTTCCCAGAACACACTTTGGAAAGTGAAACATCTTAAAGCAAGGTATCAGTCCACAGGCTTGTCGTTCCTCCACTGCACCTGGGGAAGAATGTGACACTCACCACGCTGAAGAAAGCCAGGCCATTGGGAAGAATGTCAATATCTTCAGCGCCAGCTTCTATAATTCAAGGGGTAAGAGAATGTCACTTCTCAAGTTGTGTTATTTGAGGTAGCATACCTACATCCCTATTTACTTCATCAGAGTCTGTATCTTTAGGCAGGTTTCCAGTTTTTAATACATTGTTTTCTTTAATTAATGTCTGTCTAAAACCATTTCTCAAAATGAACTTCTGATTTTAAATGTTAGCTATGTGTGCTTACTCAAATCAAAGTCAAGTTATCACTGCATTTCTCATTACAATACAGAAAAAGCTGACATCTGAACACTCTTAGGATAGACACCCAGATGTCTGCGTGGAAGTAATTGACACCAGGGGAATATGACTTCCAGAAGAGAGGGCTCACTCATTTAACCATGCAAATATCCTTGTCCTCCTCCCTGCTCATGCAATCTTAAGCAACAAGACATTTCTCTCATCAACAGAGGCAGAACACCTGGGAGCACACATTTCCTCTCAAACACAGCGCCCACTGGTTCTCACAAGCAAAGAATGCTTTCTGTTTGGGCTTCTTAGGCTCTAAATTACATGGAACGCAAGGGGAAAAAAAAGAAAATTACTGAAAAATACTATGCATGTAAGCCCATTGGAGTTTCTTACTCCCATCTTTGAAGCAGGCTACAATTACTATCGATTATTTATTGACTGTCTGCAGCATACTTCACACAGCACAGCAGATAATCAGACATAAGACTTTCCAATGAGTTCACTGTACACATTCTACTGACAGATAACAGACACTAACACAGGAAGAGTAAAAAAGGGGCTTAGATTAAGCCAACTCATGACACATTCTTTGAGTCTACAAAATCCAATCTTCCTCTTCAATACCTCTCCACAGGATTTCTCTAAGATTATTTTTACATTGTCAAAAACAAACAGCATCTATTTATCTGGTGATTTTGGTTTTGATTTGTAAGTTTGCATTTAACCAGTTGCTTCTGCTCTACCGTAGTCCAGAAAAACAGAACAAAGGAAGACTGCTTAGAACTGAACTTGTAAAGATAACACATTTGCCTATGCCTCTGAAAGATAATATATATAAAATATACCTAAATATATATATATGTAAATAAATATATTATATATATAAAAGCTCAGACGTGATGGGGTCTGTAGTTCAGGGGTCTATATACTCTTGAAGAGTCACAAACTGGCTTGAAAGAATCTGTGGCTCCTCCAAAACTGTATGTACCACCAAAGGCTGTGTACACTCTGATGAGGACTTTTCTATGAAAAGAGTTAACCTTCGGCAGATTCAAAAAAGGATCTGATTCCCCCCCCCCACCACCACCACCAAAGTTAAGAACCACTAGATTCTAGACCAGGGTAGTTCAAAATTGAAGAATGAACAAAACATGCACATGAAGTCTACCACACACACACACACACACACACACACACACACACAGACAATTTCAGTCCAAGTCTTGTTTCTGGGCCCATTTAATTGGAGCTCAACTAATTAAAATTAGTTTTTTTCCTATGAAAATTATTTAAGAAAAGTTAATGTCAATGTATATGCTTATACATATAAAAATTAACAGTCTCTATTCAGATGGTAGACTCATGAGTGATTTTCATTTTCTTTATCCTGTTCTAAAAATTTTCTACAGGTTAAGGGTATAGCTCAGGAGTACATGCTTAGTGAGCAGGAGGCCCTGTGTTAAATTCTCAACACCATAAATAAATATATGAAAGACAAAAATATCTACAAATTTTAATATTGCTTTCAAGAAAAGAATATTGTTTAGAAAAGAGTTCCATTTCAATGACATTATAACTCCAGTCTGTCTAATTCCATCACCTTATTCCAATGAAGAAAATGAGTCTTATTTGTAGCCTTCTTTGGAATATTTTCCAGATCTACTCACTAATCTTCATTTCTATAGCCAGTACCACAATGACATTTTATCATCTCACATCACCACTTTGGGGTGATTATTGCAAGAGCAGTCACTGGTACAGAAACTTTTTTTCCTTCTGTAATTCAGTAATCATAGTATTAACTGCTATCAACAAACATTAAGTGTTTATCAAATACTAGGCTCTCGGTACCACCTATAATTCATAATGTGAAGGGCAACATCATTACCCCTTATTTTAGATATGAGAGTACAGAATGTTAGAAAGGTTAAACAAATTGCTCAACTGAGAAGTTGGAACTCAAATCCTTTGGTCTAATCTAAAAGCACATAGAAACTATTCAACCAGGCATTTAATGATTTTTTTTTTCTTTTCTGTCAGCATTATTCCTTGGGGTCTCTCTAAAGACTCTTCATCTTCTAAATCCACCTATAAGCCCATACACTGGCTTTTCTCCAAGATTTTTGCTGCCATGTCTCTCACCAAAATCTTCTCCAACTCACACCCTGCACATTTCATTAAAATCTTCAAACTCCTTTCTAGGAAAGTCTTCTCACTATGCGAATCTAATTTTGACCCCTTCTTTTTCCTCCATCAGTCACCTGCCTGTGTTACATACAGCCAACTGCTCCTTAATATCTATATTCCTTTCTTTTCAGAGGCACATGGCTACATCACCGCAGACGACATTCTTTCTGCACCTTTTCTTGCTTCCTGATAGCAGCAACTTTCTAAGTACAGTTCAGTGGGACAGGAGAGCACAAGACATACGCATCTACTGAGTAAAATAAGGTACAAACACAAGCATTCTTTCTCCCCTTTCTGGTGAGAAATGGCAACAAATGGATTTCTAGTCTTAGACCAAGGTAGGACAATATGAAGACAACCACGTGACTCTGTGTGTCTTTGTCACTAAACGACCACAAGCATCTGAAGCACAGTTGTCTAATCCCCTAGGTCTAGGCCATTTGCTTTCCTTTGGACTGTTACACAAGGGAAAGATGAAAATAAACTGCTGCCCTCTCTAAATTATTATAACTATGAGAGCAAGTTAGTCCTTACCAAATCCAACAGAGTATGTAATATGTGCTACAGTCTGTTAGTTTCTACTTTTTGATTCGCTACTCAGGTATGTTAATTGCTTTGAAAAAAGATACTATATTGGAGAAAGAATTTGCAAAGTGAATTAACCTCTCCAAGACTCAAGTCCTTACTTGCTATAAAAAGAAAAAAAATTAAAATATATTTGTTGGCTTGGGATTTTGCTTGTTTTCCTCCTTTACCACGTTAGTACAGTATATGTATGACAAGTATTATGGACATTAATGTGTTTCTTTGAAGAGAAGTTATGATAAAACTTTTAATTGCTGATTGCATAAGACTTAATTTATGGCAGAGAGTGAGATAGACCAACAGAGAAAGGGTGGGGAGAGAGAGAGAGAAAGACAGACAGATAAGAGAGAGAGACAGACACAAGGAAAGAGAGAGAGAGAGAGAGAGACAGAGACAGAGAGAGACAGAGAGAGACAGAGAGAGAGAGAGAGAAAGAGAGAGACAGAGAGAGACAGAGAGAGAGACAGAGAGAGAGAGAGAGAGAGAGAGAGAGAGAGAGAAGGAGGGAGTTTGGAGGGTCAGAAGGTAGGGGAAAGGAGATTAGCTTCAAGGGGATTAGACAGCTACTACTATTCCCAAAACATGAAATAAAAGCAAAATCCTGACTACCATAACAAGTTATTTATGCCTACACAGCAATGTATGTTCAGCACAAGTTCTATCTCTGGTATAAAAAAAAAAAGACCACCAGATAAGCAAGTGTTTATTAAAAATATATAAACAAAATCTATTATTAACCATTACACACCACTAACATTGCACTCAACAAATGTTTCTGTGCTGTGTACTCACCAGAGGACAACAGCAAAAGAGAAAGAACAAAAAACACAGTTCTAATTAGATCTAAACACGTACCCCAAATGTACTCCTAATCACTCATCTTCTTCGCTCTGCTGCCTTCTGAAGTGCCTTGGAGACACAGAACATTTCAGGAGAGAGCCCATAGGTGACAGGTTTCCTCCTTCTTTCCAATTCCAGACAGCAGCTCATACACATCACAACACAAAGGTCACAAACACAGACAGACGCCTGTTCAGAACAGAAATACTTCAAGACTTGTTTGTCCCAGGTGCACTCCATCCCGGTGAACTGTAACAGGAATACACAAGGCGGTTTGTCCTGTAATGTGTCTGGCTGTGTTCTGATGTCTACTTTGAGATTTAAATTCACAGAAGTAGACTTCCCTGAGCTAAGGGCTGTTTAATAATGTGACCCTTATTAACCCAGCAGCAAAATCAACCTAAGAGATCAGTGACCTGACTTCCCACTCATGTCCCACATCCCTCGCAGATGCCGCTTGGCTCTCGAGAGACAATTCTGAGGGGCTCTCTGGATGGCAGCCAGAAGGCAGGATGGAGTTGCTGAGGTCCTTGGGGACTCAAGAAACACCTTAGGTCTAGAAATGGCTGGGTCAGCTAGCATGAATCTTATCCACCTGGTGTCTGATGCGGAGTTTACAGCCTCCTGCTAAGGGTTTAGACAACTGAAAGGAAAAAAAAGCCCCAGGAAAGACCACAAGTCTAGGTGCAGAGAGACAGGATGAGGAAAACATACAAGTAGCAATAAAGAAAGTAAACTGCACACATAGGAAAGACACATGCAAAGAATGGAGAAGTCAGAAAGAGATCAGTAAAGAAAGTGAGCCAGATGTGGGGGTGCACACCAGTAATCCCAGCACTCCAGGAGGCTGAGGCTGGAGGATCACAAATTTAAGCCCAAGCCTGGGCAATTTAGGGAGACATGGACTCAACAGGAGAAAAAAAAAAGCTGGGCATAGGTCAGAGAGAAGGTCCTAGGTTCAACCCTTCATTCTTCCTTCCCGTAAAAGGAAAATGAAACAAAGTTTGCTCTGACAATGTTTCTCTGTTTTTGCTAAATGAGTAGGTAAGCTGTGTCTGAAGTGAGTGTGAGTACAAATATGGACCTGAAGTTTATCAGTGTTGCCAACTTGAGAGGATTTAGTGATGATATCATACGTCAGACATATACCCTAATTACAGCAATCTCACTCTTGAGCATTTATTCATACACTTACAACTGTCCATAGTTGCAAGACACTACAAAAATGAGACTACAGCAAAGTAAGGAGGTTCTGCAAACAAAGGAATCAACTGACAGAAAAGAGAAACTGCAACATGGGAAAAAATGTTTGTAAACTATTCATCTGAGTAGTTTATATTTAGTGTATATAAAAACAAAAGTAACTTAATAGCAGCCTCTCAAAAATATCTGATTTAAAAATATGTAAATGGCTGGAAATATAGCTCATTGGCCTAGCATCTGTTTGGCAAGCGTCAGGTTATGAGTTCGATTCCCGGTACCTCCCTCCACTTCTGTAAATTAGGTAAATGATCAGAATAGACAGCTTGTCCTAAGAATGCACAGAAAAACAGAAATGCAATATGAGTATGCAAAAATACTCACTATTCATCAGAGAAACTCATGTCAACAGTACAGTGAGACATCATTTTTCACCCCAGTTAGAATGGCTATGATAAAAAAGTTAAAAAAACAAAAAAAGTAGTGTCAGGCAGAAACTCTTGTACATTGGGAGAATACAGTAGTGCAGACATTGTGGAAAAGCACATGGAGATCCACCAAAAAAACTTGAAACTAACACTACCATATGATCTAGCAATCCCTCTATTTGGCATACATTCCAGAAGTATGAATCAAAGAGATACTGGCATGACCATATCTATTGCAGAACTATGTAATGGTTAAGATACAGAATAAATCAAGATATTCACCAACTATCAACAGATAGGACGATTAAACAATGTGACACACATATGAATATTATTCAGCCATTTAAAAAGGGTAACACTGGCAGGAATGTAGCTCAGAGGCCCAGGGTCTGCCTGGTAAGCATGTGATCATGAGTTCAATTTCTGGCATCACATAATAAATAAATTAATAGGATGAAGTCATTTCATTGTGGATGGAACTGAGTTAAAGGAGATAAGCCAGCCGCGGACAGACACTACTATTATGCTTCTACTCACTAAAAAGCTAAAAAAAAGTTGGTCTCATAAAACTAGAGAAGAATAGAAGATAAAAAGGGAGGGCGAAAGGGAATGGGGAGGGTGAATGATGGGCTCCAAAATCCAAGGCAGAGTTCTGAAGTTCAGAGCCTAGTAGAGTAACTACAGTCCATAACAATTCACTAGGTACCAGTGTTTTAAAATAACTTGAAGGAAAAGTCTCAGGTTCTCAACAAATAGAAATGGTAATAATTGAAAAGACAGAAATGCTAGTTACTCAATTTGATTAGCACATACTGTACACCTGTATCAGATTATCATATTGTACCCAATAAATGAGTAAAAACATTATATATTAAAAAACAAAAATTAAGAAAAAGAACCTCAAATGTAGAAGTTTAATATAATTGCCAAACAAGATTTCATATCATATTCTTTAGGTACACTGACAAAACTGAGAAAAGTTAATTATATTGCTTTAAACTTTTGTTCCTGGCCAGGTATGGTGATACATACCTATAATTCCAGCACTCACAAGGCTGAAGCAGGAGAACTGCCATGAGTTTGAGGCCAGCCTGAGCTACATAGTAAGTTCAAGGCCAGCATAAAATATGGAGCGAGCCTCTGTCTCAAAACAAACAGACAAGCAATAAAAATAGAAATAAAAAAATCTTTTGTTTCATTCTCAGTTCATACTACTTACGGTACATCATAATGTCATTTTTGTAAGCAGTATTATTAGCCTACTTTAACACAACTATGTTGCACTGTGCTTTCCTCCTTCTCTTGAAAGTATCAGTCTGCTTTATGTAAATATTTAGGAATGCAGCAAAATTGTTTTGGACTGAGGCAGCTCTATAAGTTCCTTAAGTGATCTAGAAGTAGTACAATGGCTTTTCCTGGAGGCAGCATTTACACAGAAGTTCCCTGCTTTTACTTATATTGTAATTTGTTTGGAAGGGCTTTGGGAAACCAGATAGAGATCATAAGAGAATGAAAGTTCTTGGCCTTCTCCTTCCTGGCAGGAGAGAGGATATGGATATGCCTCATCCATATTGGACATCCCATCGTTTTAAAAATACTAGGTACCTCAAAAAATGAAAACAAAATGGCAGAATTTCTGACTCCTGAGATGATGTATGAGATTCCTTCAGCAACTGAAAATGACCAAAATGAGATCCCTCATGAAATTCTTTGTAAACCAAGAAGGATATTACAAGTGCAAGAAATAATAATTAACACCCTAAATGCCCATTATCCACGGATGAATGGGTAAACAAAATGTGATCTATGCATATAGTAGAATTGCATTTGGCTTTAAAAGAGAAAATTCTAACACAGCTGCAGTATAGATGAATCTTGAGCACATTATCTAAAGTGAACTTAAGAGACACTGTATGATTTCACTTATATAAGGTATTAAGAGCAGTCCAATTCATGGAGTCAGCGAGGGGAATATAGGTGCTGAGAGAAAAAGGGGTAGTTTTAGTTTAGAAGGTATTTTTATCAGTTTTCCAAAAGTTCTGGAGATGGATAGTGGTAATGGTCACACAACAATGTGAATATACTTACCATTACTAAACTTCATACTTGAAAATGGATAGAATAATAAATTGTATGCTGTGTGCATTTGATCACAAATAATTTTTATAAAATCAGAGAAACCAAAACACCCTGTAACAAGCTAAACATGTTATAAAAAGTAACTGATTAAATAAAGCATAGAACACAGAAAGAGGAAAAAGACGGAGTTAGATCTACATGTGCTGACGTACGAAGCTGTTTATGTTGCATTAGGAAGTTGTGGAGTATTTATACTAAGTTATCATTTGTGGAAAAACTAGACATATATTTATGTGCATGTATTTGTTTACATAGATACTGAAAATATCAGGGAAGACAAAAAAATAAACTATCTCTGGGGTTACTTTTGTGGAGGAATGGAGTTTGTGGAGAGATTTTCATTTTCCATTTTAGATCTTCTATGCTATTTGATCATGTAGTATTTATGATACTTTATATGGACTTTGTACAGAAAATGCCATGTAGCTGTTAGATTACTGTGCTGAAATAAGTTTGCAAAGCAAAGCACTGAATGTAAAAAGCTAGTTCTGAAATATTGAATATAATTTCTGAAATACTGAATATAATTGAATATAAAATTGCATGTGAGAATATCCCAAAACAGAGAAGAAAATATGGAGTAACACTCAGAATGTGTTTTGCAATGTTACCTGTTTCCATGTTACCTGAACTTCATTTTATTAAAAATAAAACAGAAACTGAAACAGTCTCTCTCATCTCTAGATGTTATGTGAAAACTAGAGGGGCACGAAGAGGCTCTCAGGGTAAGATTATAAATAAATGGGCCAAGAATTTAAAGCAGTCAGTTTAACTACAATCTCATTGTTGCAGGTGAAAAAATAGCAAACACCAAGCTTTGCCCAAACTTACATTGCAAATGTATGGCAGAACCTGAACTAGAAATTTGGTGCTTTGACTTATAGCCATTTTTGTTTGTAATCACACCATGAATTATCTCTAAGAGCCAGTGTTTTTATCATTCATTAATAACTCCACAAACTGTCCTAGAGATTTTTATAGTTGGCAAACGGTAAAAAATTATCAAGAAACAGACTCTGCCCTGAAAGAATTGCAGGGAACTGGAGAGACTCTCAGTGCAGGGCGAGAAGCCTGCACTGAGAGTCCTTACTCCCGGCAGCAGGTCGGGCTTGATCTCAGGAGTTCCTCTTAAAGCTCTGCGCTACACTGTACCCTCCACAGAGTTAGGGGACAGGACCAGCCCACTCACTAATTGCTCTCCCTTCAGCGGTGACAGCTGAAAAGGTATAACAGGAACACTTTCTTGTGAATCCAATTTGTGAAACATCAGTTATACTTAGGTGTGAGACCAGATGCTGGTTATGGAGTAGTGAATTGAGCAAGGTAAATACTATTCCTGTCTTCCTGAGACTTTCTCCCCACTTCCCATAGCGGCTGACCTTTAGGACAATGGAACCCAGGCTTTGGTGGCAATACACAAAGAAACATACTTTAAAAACACAATTCAGAGAAGTCACAAACAACCATACAGGATACATGTAATTATAAATAAATTACAGTGAGCATTAAGAAAGATGAATGCCAGAAGCATGAGGTCAAAGAGACCAGAGAAGTTTCAGTTGATCTAATGTGATTTAATTGCTGGAAAATAGTCACTGCATGACAAAATACTTTTAATGAGTGTTTTAACGTTGGTGGCCAAATAATGTAACATGTACAACAAGTGTTTTCTCATACATACCAATTCCTTTAATTAGGTGGCAGTTTGGGAGGTCTACGGATTCAATTTCCCTGGAAGCTTTAAGTCGATTTCTGTTTTAAAAAAAAAATAAAACAAAATAAAAACTTCTTGTTTATGTATTCCCAATTTGATTTGAAAAAATGTTTAGGAAGGCCTACAGCAATACAAAAGCAGTATATATATATATATATATATATATATATATATATATATAAATCAGATGAAAGAGGACACAGAAATAAATGTAGAAGCATAAAACAGCACCAGAAATAAAGTTAAAACAAAAATGTATAGCACTAAGTTCTACATATGGATGTATACGGTCAAACAAAGCCAAGGACACAATAAATCACTCTGGGATGGGAGTTCCTACACCAATGTGTAGGTGTGGGAGGAGAACCTGAAGCCCTGTCTTCCTGTTGAAGAGCCAGCACATGAGGAAATGTCAAGTGATAGGGAGTCTCACACCACGACTGCAAGGAGGCCAGGAGAAATGGCACTGCTCTGAGCCTGGTACACAGCAGGTACACACACCCCAACCTTTACTGAGGAATCAGCAGGGTGCTTCCCATCCTCAAGGCAAAATTGTTAGGAGAGCAGCAACTACTTTGTAATCGTGCCAGCAAAATTTTATGCTCTGATTGTTTTAGGAAAACAAAGAAGAAATAACAAGAAAATGCTGAACTCTGGTATCTTTCCACCTGCCAGGGTCACTAGGCAATGTGGTCTTGCACTTATGGAAGCAATTAGAAGGCCACATTCTAAAGGCTGTCTCTTCTCTCACTTTGTCTCTCTCTTCTTTAAAGTCATACAACAACAATCATGCTTGCGAGGAACTTTATGTTTTGCAAAGGGATTCCTACAGATATTGGTCCCCTGTCTCTTTCATATTCAAAGTATTCAAATCCCTGACAGCTTTTGCCTGCCATCCACTGAATATGGGGAAGGCTGCTGGTTTCTCAGTGAAATGCTTGAAAGCCCTCATATAACTCATGTAGTTGTAACTGTAACAGTAATGATGAAGATGATGCTGATGATAATCAAGGTGTTCAAAGGGAATTAAGAATAAAAACAGCTGTTTTATTTACTGTTACTGTTACTTACTACTGTTCTAAGCCCACCACTGTTTTACATAATTTGCGTCAATGAGTAAACTTTTCAAGCTGATAAAAATAATTAGAGAGGCAAAGTCATTTTTTTTCTGAGTTCCTCTTCAGTGAGGAAGCTGAAACCAGCTCCCACGGAGAGGCAGACCTTGCTCTAATCATTCTGTGCTTTTCTCAGACAGGAGGGAAGAAAGATCTCTGAGTTCACTTCCTAGCAGTAACACTGCCACGGCCTCTGCAAGTCACTGAACATCTGGAGGTCTCAAGTCTTCCTTAAAAATACAAATCAGGATGAATTTGTAAGACCCCAATATTCTCCTAATAGTGAATGATTTCAGAAGAAAATGTATGCACAAATCAATGGGTCACAATGGGGTGAACATCAATATTATGGGTTGATTTGGCGTCGATTTTATACAACATACTCATTATGCCTATTTGACTTTACAAAATAGAGAAAAGGGTGATTACCATCTACCTTTTTCAAACAGAAACTGTGATTAAATAGATAAATTTTATGATTAAGTAGAATCTACTCAAAGTATCACATTCAGATATATTTGAACAGTTTAAGAAGGGGTATGTGATTCAGAGTCAACAGGTTTGCGTGAGTGATTGATTTACACACTTTGCTTTGAGGGAAATTTCCACGTAAGTTTAGTTGTATAATATCTCTAGGTATGCAAACTATGTGCTTTAAAAATTGAAGAGCTTCCTGAGGGCTGTGCATGACTTCTTGCTAAGCAAATACTCTCACCAACCCATGGCTCTGCTTTATTATTTATTTTTTTTAAAGAGTACATTGCTGCAATCCTAAATGACCTATCTATGACTTCAAAATTCTTTCACTAGAAAACTGTTGGGCTTGTTCCCTGGCAGAACTATCAGTCCCCTGCTCACTGGTGTAATTTTGTATACTTCATGTGACAGATGCATAGGCTGACAAGACACCCGTCTGCTATGTTTTTTCTACCACAGTGGACAAGGTGGATCTGGGATTTCCCAGCCTCCTTTTCGTTTAGGCGTCAGATATCACACAAGCTTTGGGGGAAGCCATTTTTGTTCTGGACAGAAAGGGCAGGCAACTGAAGCTAGCTGGCCTTCCTTCTCCTCCCTTCCTTCTGCTGTGAACACATATGCAATGCTTGACATGACTGCAGCCATTCTGCATCATCTTGTTTTGCTTTATTTCTAAAGTTTATTTGCATTCATATAAAATAGGGAAAGTGAACATATTTTAAAATTTCAATGGGGTTTTTAAAAGGTTTTTTTCAAATCAAATTTGCATTCATGTCTACTGTTCAATGATCTTTCTCTTTTTATTAGTATATGTTTGTGTTACATTGTAATATATCTGTGGTGGCGAACCAGTAAGCGTACATTTGAAATCTTAATCTTTTTTTCTTACTCTTTCCATTTCCTCTCCCAGCTGCCTCCATCCCCAGGTCTATTTCCCATCTCCCACAAAGTCTATCTTCCTATTTCCTATCATCTGTCCTTTATTTTGTTCATTAAAGTATGTATACTTTGGGTTTTTTGTATAAAAGAACCCTTCCTTATTTAACCTTCTGTGTTTGATTTATTTTACCTAGTATTAGTCTCAAGGCACATTCATTTTCCTACGACTGATTCAAGTTAATCCTTCATGATGGCTGAGTTGTACAATATCGTGTATGTATCTCACATTTTCTTTACTTATTCATCTGTTGACAGCTATATAGGTTGCTTCCAATATTTAACTACTCTTAATAATATTGCTATAAACTTCATACTCTTCTATCACTATAATATGAGGTCTTTAACTGTGTCAGGAAGATATTGAGAAGATATATATGGGTTAAATGGCATCTCTGGTTTTAGTTTTCTGAGGAATCTGCATATGATTTCCTAGTAGGTACATTAGTTTATATTCCCACCAACAATGTACCCAATGTACTCTTTTCACCCATGACTTCACCAGCAATTGTTGTTTTGAGTTCTAGATGACAAACATTCTTCTAAAGAGAGAATCTCAGTGTTCTGTTCACCTGCATTTTTCTAATGGAAAAGATACTGAGCATCTTTTCAAGCACATATTGACCATCTGCACTTCTTTTGAGATGTGTCTAATCACTTCAGTTGCCCATTTTAAATTTGGTCTTTTATTTTTGGGGATCTAATTTTTTTTAGTTATTTATGTGTTTTAGAAACTAGTCCTCTAAAGAGTAGCCATTTTTCCCACTCTGATGTGTGTCTCCTCACATGTTAGTTGCTTTCTCTGCTGTGCAGAATCTTTTTAATTTGATAAATTCCATTTGTTAGTTGTCAGTGTTATTTCTTTTACAATTGGAGGTCTGTTCTGAAAATTCTTGCCTATACTATAATTTCATGAGTTTTGCTTGTGTTATTTCTCAGCAGATTAAGTTTTTCTGTTTCAACATTTAGATCTTTGACCCATTTTGATTTGATTTTAGTACAGCGTGGGAGATGTGGGTCTAAATTCATTCTTCTGTGTGAGGATAACTAGTTTTCCTATCACCATTTGTTAAAGTGGCTATTTTTTCTCTACAGTGTGCTTTTCACCCTCTTTGTCAAAGAATACATGTCTGAAGTTGCCTGGGGTTGTTCCTGCAATCTCAACTCGCTCCACTGATAAATAGGTCTTTTTATACTAATATGATACTGTTTTTAAGACTGTAGTTTTGTAATATAACTTAAAATCTGCTATTTATAATATTTCCTGCTTTGCTTTTGCTGCCCTGGATTGCTTTTGCTATTCTGGGTCTCTTCTGGTTTCCTATTTTAGGATTTTTTTCTAATTCTGAGAAGAATGATGTTGGTGTTTTGACTGGGACTGCATTAAATCTATGTACCATTTTTGGTATTATGGCCATGTTGACAGTATTTATTCTGCTATTTAGGAGAGAGGATGTCTTTCCATTTTCTGATGTCCTCTTCCATCTTTCATTAGAGTACTATAATTTTTGCTATAAAGGGCTTTTACTTCCTTGGTTAGGTTAATTCATAGGTACTTAATATTTTTAAAACTATCATGAACAAGATTGTTTTCTTAATTTTTTTTTGATAGATTCATTGTGAGTCTACAGGAATACTATTGACTTTTTGTGCACTGACTTGGTATTCTGCTACTTTACTAAATTTGTTTATGAATTGTAGGAATCTTTTGGTGGAGTTTTTTGGTTTTCTAGATGAAGGATCACGTAATCTGTGAATAAGGACAGTTTGGTGTCTTCCTTTCCTATTTATGTCTCATTTTTATTCCTTCTCTTGCCTGACTGCTCTAACGTTTTGAATATTATATTAAACAGGAGTGCTAAAAGTGGCCACCTTTGTCCCTGTTTTGGTCTGATTTTAGAAGAAATGCTTTCAGTTTTCACTATTTAGTATGATGCTGCCAGTGGGTTTAACATAAATGATTTTTTTTATTGTCAGCAATGATTTTTTTTTTTTTTTTTTTTTTTTTTTTACTCTCCATGAACAGAATTTAGATTTTGCCAATGGTTTTTTTGGGGGCATCTATTAAAATGACTGTGTGTTATTTTTTCCTCATTTTATGTGACACTTTGCACATATTAATTTATATATGTTAAATCATATTGTATTCCTGATGTGAAGCCAACACCCTGCATCTTTCATAAGGATGCAGGCTATAAAGTCAATAGTAATAGACCAAGACACAGAAATACAGAAAAGTCTAGTTCCCTGTTGGAAACACTGACTGAACAAGTTCTTGATTGCCTCACCTACAGAGATTTTGTGTGGTGACAAAAAGTAAGCCTCAATTTGTATAAGTTGCCATTAATACATATGTTACTTACAGGTGAAGGCATCCCTAATCAATACCAGATTTAAGAAGTTCAGGAAAAAGAGAAGGAAAAGCTATGTAAATCTTTGGATTAGAAAATCAAAAAGGCTACAAGTACTGATGAAAAATGTGTAAGATATGGTTTAAACACAAATAAGTG